AGTCCCCAGAGAAAAAAGTCCAAAACTGTGAGGTCTGGAGATCTGGGTGGCCACTCTATGAACGGACTACCACGGTCTATCCATCGGTTTGGAAAATGTTCGTTAAGCCATTGCCTCACAGCTCTGGCATAAGGAACTGAACACCCATCTAACTGGACAATTAAATTTGATCGTTCATTACAAAATATTTTTTAGGAAATTTCTATTGTTTAAATATTCCCTTTGGGCCCATAAACAATATTCCAGGCGTCTTGCTTCGTCGCCTTCTTCCAGTGTGTTTAAAAATTTTAGTTTGGAAGGTTTAATATTCTTCGCCTTGAGACATCTCCGAATAGTTTCTCGTGGAATATTCAAATCTAAAGTGGCATTCCTTATACTGACATTAGGATTAGGGGATTAGGATTAGGAGGGGGTAAAATCTTATCATTGTATTATCATGTTTGTTTTCAATTTTTCTAGAAAAATTGTAATGAACACACTTGCATAAAATAAAATGTCCTACAATTTTGAACGTAATCAATTGTTTCGAAGGATCGTTATTTTTCTATTTATTCCTGTTTATTATTGATGTTTTCAGGAACTGAAATTCACACTGTCAGTGACAGTGTATATTTCAGATGTCAAATCCTAGCTCGACGACGGCGGCGCTAGTAATTTAAAGGATAATTGAGAATGCTTAGCAAACTTTCTGTATTTAAAGTTGTTTTCACTCGTTCAATAGCGATATACGCTTTATTGAAATCTGACGATCACTTGTAATATGTTTGTTCCATATAATCCCAAAAAAACAGTATAAAATACCTAAGAATGTCGTTTGACTAGAGGAGTGGATATTATCGATAATGAAAGGCTCATTAAATAAGAGTTTCAGCCGAAACATTTTTGACAGTAACCGATTTTGGAGGATTAAATTCGATATAAAAAAATACATTACCCTGCAATGTGTCGCTGAAAACCAGTAGACATAGCGTTAAAGTCCACATCAAATCAAAGAAAGCCATGGTGTGTCAGGTCACAACCAGCATCTAGCCGGTTTTGCCGAATAAAAAACAGTTGACGGGATCACCACACAGTCAACACAAAAATCGCCGAGAGACACTACTTTCCGGGCTAATTACTTTCAAATCACATCACTGAAAAGTTGAAAAACTACCGATGGTCAAGCTCAGGGAAGCAAGGTAGCGTTTTTTCCACGACTACAGTAAATAACTGTAGACTGCACGATCAATTACTATAAATTATTGACCCACCGCATTCGTGAGAGATTTTTTCCAATTACAGTTCTTCACGGGAATTTAGGTCAGACGAGTTGAGCACACAAATTTCTTCAATCGCGTCCAGACTTGTCACTATTTGGCGGTTTGTTCCTGTACCGTCACATTTTCACTGGGAGGGTAATTTTTTTAAACACAAGCACAGTTGAAGAACTGAATGTCTTTCTCGATTTCACCACATCCGGAATAGATGACGAGGCTGTCGATGGATCGTTCTTCTGTAGACGATGGCCGAGTAACGGAACCACTAGGACTTACAAGAACCAGCGAGTGTATTATTTCTACACTCTCATAGGCATCTAGTTGCCTGTTGTTGTTAACTTCTCTAACTAATCTTAATGAACTGAAGTCTATGGAATGGTTTTGTTGCAAATTATGATGGGCGACTGCTGATTTTTCAGGTCTTCCATATTTGAAGTGTGCTCTGTGTTCCTTATATATTACTTTGATAGATCTTTTTGTCTGTCTATAATATTTTTTTATCGCAATTGAATCTTACATTCAATTTCGTAAATTCCAGACTTTTCCGAATTCTCGACTTTGTCTTTTGGACTTCCTAAAAGGCTCTGTAGTGTATGACTTGTTTCAAAAACCACCTTTATACCTAGTTCCTTGAAAATCTTTCGAAAATTTCCTCGTATATTGGTGGAATGGAACTGATATGTATTTATCTTGGTTTTTGTCCTTTCTGAAAGTAGAGATTTCGTTCATTCTCAACCTAAACTTCTTTTTCCTTATTATGTCATCTACAATACCCCTCGAGAAACCGTTAGTGGCTGCTATTTCCTGTATTGTACGTCTTTCTTTTGTGAACCTATCATGTGTTAGAGGGAACGTCAAAAGACGATGCACTAAAAAATTCAACCCAGCACGTTTGTGCTGGGTTGAAAACTTTAGGATTTCAGAAACAAATATCAAGTCGGTTAATATAATCTGTCGACCTGACAGTTGCCAACGGAAAGTCTTCAGGTCTACCGTTGGAGGATCTTGTGGGTCATTCTTCCGTGATGTGTTTGATCGTTTGATATTCTTCGCAGTCGTAGTATGGTGATGGTTGTTTGCCCCATTTGTGCAGGAGGTATGTGCATCTACCATGTTGCGTTCTGATTCTGTTACGTTTGGACCAGGTTCTGCGCGGTAGGTCAAAGCCTGGGCGCTTTTGGGTAATGCAGGGCACATTATTGCCCTGTACTTTGCTAAAATAGCCCACCAAGTTATGATGAACAAGCCACGCCCGTCATCAAACGTTAATATAGATTCACATACTTTATATCTAAAGCACATGCAAAACTGCAAGTTTTGCCATGCTTCACTTCCTATTGGAAAATGAGCTAGAACAGTTCTACGATCTTATCATTTCCACTCTCCACTCATCAATAAATGTGAACTTTCATGGCCAGAGATAACTAACCCTTCTCACAGTATAGTAGAGATGTCGCCACATACATCTCGGTAATCTTATCGCCAAAAGCGTTCATATAACGCAACACCGATTTCAGTAGTTGTGCGATGGACCCTGCTGGTTATATTACCCCACTTGGTCCCTGTTGATCAGTCCGAACACAGAAGATAAGAAAAATCCCTTCTGTGGTGGGTGTTGGACCCTAGGTTAACCACCTGGGTGTGAGCATCGATGGACAGGTTTTCTGGGGTAGTATGGCCATTGGAATATATTCCAAACATAACCCTATTAGTTCACCAAAAAAATCCAAAAGGTTCGATAAAACGAAAAGATATTTTGATCCATTTTTCTCCTCAAGTCCTGATACATTGCTCTATAAAATTTATAGTTGCATGGATTTGAACTTGTCGATTTTCACGACCCAATGCTTTGATACTATGTACTTTTTGACTCACCGTTTTTCTCACAGATCATTTGAAGGGGTTTCTTAATAAATTGTTGGAATAGTTTTCTCCCTTTTTATTTTTGAACATATCATAACCTCTTCAAAACTGAGTGAATAAACCGTTTCCCATTCAAAATATTAAGAAGAACAGAATATTGACGTAGAAATAATTGACGTCCCAAGCTTGGAAAGTGTTTACATTCATTACTGAGTTAAATAAAGGTCTTGTTATGCCTTGTCGATAACCTTGATTAGCGTGAGATTTTTTCTTGCAATGCATTACCCCACTTCCCCCTATACCAAGCTTCTTTCGTTACAGGTGGGGTTTCCATTTCACAATTTGAGTCGCGAGTACTGTGTTAGTCCTACCTTTGTAGGACCTTAGAATGTACGCTGCATTCTTCGACAGTTCCCATTGAAGACAGTATATATTACGATTGTGACTATAATTTTAAAAATGTGGAAAATAGGTAACTACAGATTATGAGGAGTCATGTCAATAAATCGCGGTTTTTGGTGCAAAACAAATTGTAATATGATATCCGCAATTGTTCGTTGTTCTTTTTTCAGTAACATATTTCAAAAACGGGGTTTTGTCACTAGTCAAGCATGGACCAAAAGGGAAGTGAAAATCGAATACGTCATGTTGATAAAATTTTATTCATTGTTCAATTCTTGCTCAATTGTCCTGAACAATGAAATCAAAAATATGTATTCAAAATAAGTTTGCAAAAAATATTTTGCAAGCAAATACATCATCTGCTTCCCTAATAAATTTGTTAATATGCTAGCTGTTGAAGATTTCTGATTTATTTACTATATAAACAACATTTTGCGATAACCTTTAAGACTAAAATGGTACTTTACCACATACAATAAGTATACATGCTCCACATGGTAGAGGATTTGACAGCTTCAGATTTTTGCGCCAAAAATGCCAAAATGACATCCTATGTAACAGTTTTGCTTTTTTTCATATCCATCCATTTCAAGAGAAAATAAAAATATTCAGAAATCAAATAGTCTCCAACCAAACATTCCATGAGATTAAAATTGCTTCTTCACTTTCTTCTTGGAACTCCAACAGACGACGGACAAATATCAAAAACCAACTTCAGAAGATGGCAGCGAAAGGCAGAATTTTTTTAAGTGAGTAACAATGAAATATTTAAATTGAAACATACGTAATTCGTTATATCAACAAATATCATCAGAAGTGACAAAACTTTAACTCTATTTTCAGTTTTTTCTAATCATGGAAATAGATACTTCTATTCATATGGCGCCATCTACACTTGAACTAGTGAAATGTCACCATCGAAGACGGATCTTGTCTACAGATTTCTACAGTAGAAAGAATCATTTCTAAAATCTGCGTTATTCTAATGAATCATAGATGGCGACATTTGGCAAACTCATTCAGGGACACCGTATAAACAACTGATTTTCTTAATTACGGTTTAGAAATAAACTGAAGGGGCTGGGCTGTAAATAAACTAGAGGGACCGATGTCAATACAGTCGTTTCCAAAACATCACCTACTCACACATACAAGGTATGTTCAAAAAATTAGGTGAATTTTCATTTTTCTCAAAAATAATTTATTTATCTTTCAATTTTTATTTTGTCCCCTTCAAAATGCAAGCGTTTTTTTCAATCCTCGTAGCAGATCTGATACGCATCTGATGTCGTAGAACTCACTCAGCGAAACGCCATCCTTCCATGAGTCTTTTCAATCTTGGAAAGAGGAAACAGTCGCAGGGTGCTAAATCTGGTGAATACGGTGGCTGAGGCATGATTGCGGTGTCGTTTTTGTTAAAAAAACTACGAACAAGCAGTTATCTTTTGCTTCATTTTCAGCCATGTATAGTTTGTCTTCAAAATATCATTGTTTGGCAAGCTTCATTAGTTCTTTATAAATTGTTCTATATGTATTGAAATATAATATGAATTTTTTAATAGTAGGTGATCTCAAGCTTATTGCTAACGATTCGCTAATTCGATATACGTAGCCCGTGAAATTTGAATTTTCATCTTATTTTAGAACTGACCTCGTATACCCTTCGTGTTATTACAAATGAAGTGAATTTCTGAGAACCTACCCCAAAGTTAAAGATGGCACGTGCCACCATAGGGGCTCGACCTAGTCAATTTTCTCTTTCCCAAACATCTGCTCCCAACAGCTGATCGGCATGTGGTTTTAGTGAATTTCAATAACGCCCTTCGAGGACTCCTACAAAATGTGACTAGTGAAAGCGTTCAGCTAAATAAAGTTGCCAAATATCGAATTGCCACGTTTGCAATACTTTTGGTTTGATACGAGGAATTACGTAGATTTGCTTCACCTGACCAAATATGGGACGAATCTTTATCGAGAATATTATAAATGTATTTCGTTCAAAGGTAACATCTGAAGGTTTTGGTAATACTGTATCACATTGCGTCTTGTATATAAGGTTTGTTTTTGACTATTTTACGTACAGTTGAGAAAGGAATTTCGGTCAAATCTAATGTTCCTTGTAATAGTTTGTTTCCCTCGAAACCAAACTTGAGATGTAGATTCTTATATACATTGAAACATACTATCTGTGTTTCAATATTCAAATGCACCTGAATCTTATTCACTCGCATCTCAGTGTTCATTAATGAATCAAAGTCTGTCTTTAGGCAATTCATCATTATGAGTTGTTAGGTAATGTAGTTGGCACCTAGTTGAACCTTGATATAGGTGAGATGTCACTTGGTCAGACTTCTTTTGATATTTTCCAGACCTTCATTGACATGTGGCCATTACAGTGCCACTTGAGTCATTGTATTTATGGGCTACCAAGATGTGCAAAAAGCTGAGGAAGTGATATTCGATAAGAATTCGAACCCTCAGGGTTCTCAGGACACCTTCCTCCCCCCAAAGATTTTGACGGTTAGAGCCATAACAAACGTCACCACAGGTCTAACCGGTAAATTGATTTTATGTGATTTGATAAAAGATTTTAGTTTGGGTGGTTAAGGGTTGATGACCACTGCCCAGCGTTGATCACTTCCGTTCATAACCAGCTCTATTGTCTTGAGGGTTTCCTTTACCTTTATCTGGTACAGAATTGTAGGGTGTGTTTCTTGAACACATTATGCATTTTCATCTAGTATCTAGTTAGCAGAGTAACATACAGTAACTCTGCTAACAAAAATAAGGTCCAAGCAGTTTTGGGCGATGCTGAACGTGACAATTATACTCGTATATTTGATCTGAGAACTTTGGTAAAATGGCTTTACTGAAGCTATCTTGGAGAAGAACGTGTATACTAGGCTCTGGAATCAAGCCATCGTCATTATTTTACCTTCATGAATGAAATCGTATGGTTATTTCTACAGTGAAGATACATTTGG